TAGACAAAGTGTTATAATAGTGCAGCAGCCGGTGTGAACGAATGGTTCTCCACAGAAAGTAAAACCTATCCTGCAACCGATCCTACGTACTTTGAGGGATAAGACATTCAGCAAAGAGAGTATAACTAACGAGAAGCAACAGAAATAAACCTACAAGGAACACAGTTACAGCTATTTAGAAATGTTTAAACCAAAGTGGTCAGAAAATAACACAGGGGTGGGGGGTGAGATAAGTGAGAAATTACTAAAAAGGCTCGATAACTTTTACCAGATATACTTTAACCTGATCACTGGTGGGTACAGAATCTAGAATGCTCAAAATACAGGCATGAAAAAGAAAAAAAGGCAAAAAGGTAACCATTCACACAGCGTTACGCAAAATCATGGGAAAGGACAAGTGTGTGAGGAAAACCACAATCAATATTTCCACACAATCATGGCACTAAGACACTTGGACCAACAGGGCACTCTTCAGCCACAGTTGAGAAGACAGCCATTGATTTTTGTATCCAGACTGTTTTGTTTTAAAACAGGAGAGAGAAAAAATATCAATTCGCCGGCAGTATTCCATACAGATGTAAGCTACTACGAACACTCACATCTTGGAAACCCTTCACATCCATCCACAGACACAAGCAAGTGAGCACATGAGTGCATTTACACAAACACACACACACCCTCTCTTTAAAGAACTACTGACTTTATGGTAAGCTGCAGTAGACGACATTCTAAATGCAAACCAAAGTTCCAAGTCAAGTCCAAACATCTAACTGATAATCCAGTCTTCATAGTTAAGATAAACACATATCGTCCCACAAACTATTTCAGACATATCAAAGCTAAAAAGTTTTGTGCTTCTTCTTGAATAATTAAATTGTTCAGAGCAAGAGAGATGTTATATTTGTGCCTGTAAAAGATTACGGTTCCATTCTCTCAGAAACAGCTCTTTGTAGTTTTGTCTTATTGATAAGATGTGTTTTATACTGGTCCCTCATTACTCTGTAAACTTAAATTGTATTAAGCAACATGTAAAATCCTGCCTTACAATTCAACTAACAAAATTATCACAAACATCAACATGAAAAAGATAAACTCAACAACAGAAACTGTTCTAAAATAACAAACATGTAATGCAAATCAAAATATAACAAGAAGTAAGGGTTTTCTTTTCTTGTCCTGGTTCAAAACAATTCCTATAGAATAAATAAAAGTCTGTTTATCTCACTAAAAGCAACAACAGTAAGAATTTTCCTTCAGACAGAAAAAAACCCACAGAGCTCAACAATCAGTCCATCTCTCTTATTTAACACTACATTTGGACAAATAGCAAATGAATAAATGGCCTGTAAGCTAAAGTTCTTAAATTAAGCTCATAATGCAAATTTCTCAGCACTACTGAGGACAACTTCCTCTTACAAAAACAACAAAATAAAAAGGAAAATTATCAACTTTGAGAATTAAAAAAAAAAGAACAAATAAGAATAACAACAGAACACATTAAACATGTGACTCAGAATGGCACATAGCATAGTGAAACTAGAAAGCAGATTACCACAGCACTTAGATAAAAAAAAAAGAAAGCAAAAACTAGAGGCACAAACAAATGGCTTTAACAAAAATTGTGTTCACCAAAATAGTACATACTGCTGAATAACGAAAAACACAAAGAAACAGCACTCAACTCAAAACAGAAAAAAGATAAAAAGGAAACCATTAAACTGTACACCTGGTGTGCATATATGCACATTTGCATGCACACACACACATACACACACACACAAACAGACACACACTCACACATACAAACATTCGTATGGTAACACAAATATCAAAACAAGCATGCAGACAAACACAACCCAACCTCAAAGTCAACAGATTCATGAACAGAATATTATAGTTCAGTTTTAAATATATCATAAAATAGAAAAAAGCAACAAAAGTGAATAATCCAGAAACAGTAACAAAACCCATAAATCCTCCATGAGCATAGAGTCTTTTTTAAAAGTTTTAGTAGAGGTTTTACAGCGCTCACAACTGCATAAGGTCATATGAGCGCCAGAAGATTAGAGGTGTTACAAGAGAGTAACAAACATAAAAAAGAAGGAGAGGAGATAAGGACGATAGGTGTTTGATAGAAATGAAGAGGCAAACCCAACCAGAGCACCTGCCAACCACCCACACAAACCCCTTAAATCCTCCATGAGCATAGAGTCAGGATATAACAATAACAACAAAGGCTCACTGATCACAACACAGCTCAACCATGCAGCTTTCCCCAAACTTGCAGCTGCACATCAACAGGGCAAGCGTGCTAGATTATAGTAAGACTAGGCCCACCTTCTAGTTGACTACAGCGAGGTGGCTGAGACAGTTCTTTTTCAAATCACACAGACATTTCTCTCTGAAAACAAAAATCCCACAAACAGGATAATGTGCTTTCATTATAATATATCAGACAGCTGTACAAGCATTAAGAGAAAGGGGGCGCTCTTGTCTAGGAAATATAAAGGCACATACAACCTCTTGCTACGAGACTCCATGCATAATAAGCACAATATTCCTTGGTCCTGCTTAAATAGTTTTGAGGGATACATTCCAAAATCTGACGAAAGCCTTTGATATCAAATTTGAAACTTTATTTGCCTCTAAAGCACACATTTTAAGGACAGAGTTCCTTCAATTCCTATTTTTCTGAAGTCTCAACGTACTATTGACATAGCTTAACTGACAGCCTACTCCTTTTATTGTATACACCTAGCTTGAAACTTATAAAAGAAAAAAAGTATCCAAGAAAACACAGACAGACGTAAAATACTTAGGAAAAAAGGGTTAATCATTCACTCCTTCAAACGTGTGAACGTAGAGTAACACAAAACCTGTATGATTCTTGCACATTAGCAAACAATGACACATTCAACTCTAAATTTTTAGGGATTACAGAAGCACAAACAGTATTCTTAACTATAGGGTTGTGGAGAATGCTACACTTAAGAAACCTATGTATAAGAAAAGGATTTCTAATTTGTTTTTTAAAAAAGGTTGTAAATTCAAATAGTTCACGGATCATATTTGTTTAGTGGGACTGGATTTCTATAAATAAAATTCCCATAAAGTCAAAGCTTACAATGGGAAATATATTACTGTTGTTATCAACCCAATACGATTTTCCACAAGAGAAGTGTATCTCATTGAACATTAGTTTTAGTCAAATCCCTCTCCAGTTATACAAATCATATAAAGATCTAAGTACAAACATTTCACTACAAAAGCAATTTTATAAACAGGTACACACTGAACATACACATTAGATAGTGAACAGCTCTATTCCGACAAGCATGAGAGATACAGTTGAACCTGCTCTAACAACCACCTGTCCAAGACAATAACCTGAACAAATGACCTTTTCCCATTCCCCCCCTCCCCCTTGGCCTTTTTTCTGTACCGGTATTCAAAAGAAACTGTCCAAGAAGACCACCCATATAAGATGACCACTTTCCTCTGGACAGTGGGTGATCATCTTGTGCAGGTTCTACTGTACTATGGCAGACAGTATACCTCTCTATCAGCTGGCTAATGTTTGTAAGTGCTTTCTGCCCACAACTGAAGCCATAAGTGTCGACTCCCCCAAGCCAACTCTCCTACCACATCAAAGAAGTACACTGCCAAACCAAGAGGTGACAGAAGAAAAGCCTTCCATTACGCTCTTTATGAGATATAGGAAAGGATACCTAATGCTCAGTCCCCCACCCCTCTCTCAAACCTCAAGACAGGTGTTAATAACTATAACTGAAGACATTAAGTGAAATCAAAACGTTATCCCCAAACCACTCCAAATTAATGGAGGCTGATGATTTGTTAAGAAATTACTTCTTCTTCATTGTAAACTGACTTAATGATGTACAAAATTTTCTTTTTTACAGAATTCTTGTTGCTGTTTAAAATATACTACAGAATCCAATTCCTGACAAAAGTTGGTAGACAAAAGAAGCAACTATACAGGTTTATTACCCTTTTTTCAAAGAACGGAAAACACAGAGGCTAATATAATATAACAGAGAGATTCAGTGATTTGATGATTCAAGCAACAAAGTATATACGACAGGGGCTACTGAGTGGAGAACTAGCAAACAACAGCAAGGTTGTAAGGTTCTAGAGGAGGAAACAAAATGTCATTTCTCTGTCAGATAAGTAGGAGGGGAAAAGGATTTGAACAACGATGGTCATACAAAGAAGGAAGATAGAAAGACGGAACAAAATGAGGGAGGACAGTAAGACAGAATGGAAAACAAGAAAAAAAGACATGAAGATCAATGCAGTATAAAGAGTACCTTAACTTGAAAGATTAAAAAGAAAAACTTAATACAGTCAGCATGATAGCGGCCATATTCCATATGAGCAGATTGAAGCAAAATGAGACGACCAGACAAGAACAAACACCCATCAACCACCCACAAGGTTAAAAAAGAAATATGAGGTCAAAAACTGTTTTTAAAAAGTTTTCTCTAGCATCATCAACAAGGGGCAGTCAGTAGAGAGTCAGACTCTACAAGAGTTCTGGAGTCGGAGCAATGTTCCTGGCCCGTAAGTTAAATGAAATTTTACCATCATAATTGATGGTTTGCTATAAACTACCCTACAATAAACAAACCTCAGAAAAGTGCCATTAAAATAAAAATACAGAGAGATTCAGGCAGTAAATGGGATGATTTGCCGAATGTGGTGATTTGTACGACAGCCCCATAGAGAACTCGGTACGGTAACTGAGAGGCCACCAACGAGGGTATTTGTGCTTGAGGGTGGGATGTAGTTAAAGGAGATCTGCATTACATGTAATAATACAACACACAAATACAAACATAATATGACTACTTTCACATTCTTCACATACATATAATCATCACTGGTGCAAGAAACGTGAAAAACTCAATTTGACCCTGCGTTACTGTGTGAAAAAAAAGAAATTTGTTTTAACTCCAATTTTTATTTTTTTTTGGGGGGGTGGGGGGGGGGGTGATGACAATGGCGATATGTACTCTTTATTTCCCATTTTGTCATCTCACACCTTGTCTGATCTGCCTCATTACTTACTGTCTTGGGACAACGGGTCCATAGATCAACAGAAAAATTTCTGCAACATTTTTCACAACTCCATACAAAGTGTCAGATCTTTCAGAGCAGTAGTTAGGTAAACTGAACCCATTTACAAAGAAGCATGAGCCGAGTCTGTCTCACTCTATTCATTGTGGGCATACAACAGAACTGGTTAGCCTTTGGCGCACACTGAGCCCAGTCACTGGTTTAGCATCCTCAGATATCATCCTTGGATCTAAACGGTCACTGGTTTGTTTGGTTGGAGTTGTTTTGTTTTGTTGTTTGTTTTGTTTGTTGTTGTTTTTTTTGGGGGGGGTTGTGCAAAACTATCCTTGATCCACTAACATGTATGGCACAAAAGAAGCACTTGTATTATCTCCATTAGAGTAGAAGGGAAAACTCATGAAAAAAAAAAAGGACTAAACCGACCTGTCTTTCTGGATTTACCTACTTCTCTTCTCGGATCATCAATTCACAATATACCCTGTTACCCTTAATACAAACTTTCGCACAACACTTTTTCTTCTAATAAAAATCATCGTTAAAAAAGTACATGAATCTTGACCCATCACTTTGTTGATCCACTTTTTGACAGCACTTTTTATCTCCTCCCAAAACGTCTTCCACACACACAACTTTACTATCCCCATCCAGCAAGTCTTTCAAGCTAGCCCTCTATGACTCGAAGCCATGTCATAAAAGATACAGATCTTCCGAAATCAGAGTGCACAGTATTTTTGGCCAGTTCTTGTAGAACTTAATTGCACTTAGATATCCGAAGGGTGGGCAATAAAAGAGCAAACAAAACATAAACTATATGAGAGCTTTCCACTTCCCCCTCCATCTACGCCCTCCTCTCAATTCCCATCTGACCTTCTCTAAGGTACCTACAGAGGACTCAAGGAAGAAGGAGGGTTCAAGTTATAGGTAAGATTTCACCTCCCACTCACACAGTACTGCATTTCTGCCTTCCACCTTGACAAGGCAGTCAATGTAACAAAAACAGCAGCTTACGAGTCAAGACAAACAGCAGCTTACATTAGTGATTAACCAGAGAGGGTGGACTCTTTTCTCCAAACCTCTTTACACTATGGGCATATGTAAGCAACAGGAGGACTATTCCCTGGGCATTCTTCCACTGTCCCTATATCCTTCACACAACACATTCTTTAACAGTTACTGTCTCCCTCATATAGCACATTTGCCCACTGTTCATTCAACAACCAAATACATGGACGCATAAGAGCGCAAACAAGATCAACGACACTGCTTACATCATCAAAAGCTGACAAAAAAAGCTGCACAAATTACTCATACATACAAGTTGATCCACAACTATTAAGCATTAAGCATTCTGGTACATCAAATAAAACAACATCCACAGGAAAGCTTTCACCGTTAGAATACGTGAAAATTTCCACAGATCACGGGACGACAGTATCTGTATTAAGGAAAGCTCTCCCAAGATGACCAGATCCTTAGAGAATAATTCCACTTTGTCATTGACGGAAATGCAATTTCTTCACAACATCTGACTGTCCAGACTGAATATGTCACCACTTCTTGCTGTCTATCAACACATTATGATTCTTTGTACATAAACTCTGCAAGAAAAGGCTGTGCACTTGGCTAAACCACTGTGCATCCAGTAGTGGATCATCAGCTGCAGCAACAGCTTTGTAGAGATTATGGAGTCTTTCAAGTCCTCGGGGAGAAGCAAACTTGACAATATAATCTCTTCTACCTTGTACTCTGGACGGCAAAACATTGCTCTCTCTCTCGCTGACAGACCAGCAGCCACAATTCACAACACCTGGAGAAAGAGTGAGCGGAAAGGCGATGAGACAATGTAAGACAAAAGGTATGTAAATGTGAGTTGGTCTGAGAAAATCAGGAATATGTCAGCTATGGGCCATTTTGAGGTTTTGTGCTTTTCTGAAAGCTGGGATCTTACAGATTATTATACATTAACAAAAATTTCAATTAACTTTTCTAGAAGAAAAGATATTGCATTTTGAAGTAACAATGTGTGCAGAAATAAGAACTGCAAAAAACCAAAGTTACACCATTATTGCTTTTTAATATCTGAAAACAGTGGAAAATAAATTGAGAAAAGATATTTTTAAGTGGTTTTTACAAGAAACAACTCTTGCATTGTTTTCTAAAATGGTTGGGGAATCTCCTGGTACGTATAACTCAAAATCAACCAGAATTGACCACACTAACTATTTTTGCCTATATATTGGTTTGAGGTTTAACTACATATTCCTGGTATCCTCAGACACCCTAACAACTGTACATGTCTGAAAGTTAACACATTTTTTTTAAAACCCAAAAGTCTTCTCCTTTTAGTTTTAGTAATAAGAGTTTTATGGCACATGCAACACAATTAGGTCATAAAAGTGCCGAAGATTAGAGGTGTTACAAGAGAGTAACAAACACAAAAAAGAAGGAGGGGAGATGAAGACGATAGATGTTTGATAGGAAAGAAGAAGCAAACCACACCAGAGCGCCCGCCAACCATCCACAAAGACTTCTCCTTCGCCTTCATCATAAGTTGTCATTACACACACTTGACACTCTGAGCCCTGGCCTCTGAAGCAGAAGAAACCACGCACCTGAGTTCCTTTTAGCTCAACTGCTAAGGCATTTGTTCAGAATGCTGAAGGGTGAGTGTGACCTTAAGTCCATAGGATTAACACACACACAAGAGCACTAACACACAGACACACTGACATCTGCACACACGCATACATGCACTCATGCACACACACACACGTGCATGCGCACACATAAAAATCAATCAGTTAGCCCAAAAGCATGACTATCCACCCTCATCATCACATCCATCAACAAGGTACTTGACAAAAAATATCTTTTACTCAGTAGATAATATCTTATTTCATAAGGAAAAACTAAACACCAAGACAGTGTTTCTACCTGGTTGTTGGGCACCTCTGGCAGATCTTTCGTCTTTTCTTTTCTTTCCCTCTGTTTCTGTTGGTTTGTCCAACTTTTTCCCCAAAATCTTTTCTTTTTAGTTATTTCAGTACCTGGATCTCGGGACCTTCCTTCAATAAAACACTTAATCTCCTACACTATTCTGTCTGCCTGGGTTGGTTTGGTTCAAAACTTGGTCTCTATGTGCAGTCCCTATCTTCCTTTAGGTTTTTCTTTACTATATGACCATAATCACAACAAAATGTGACGAAAGACCCTTTTTTCTTTTCCCTCCCCTGTCTTTCTGTTGGTCTGTCTTTCTGTTGGTCTGTCTTTCTGTTGGTCTGTCTTTCTGTTGGTCTGTCTTTCTGTTGGTCTGTCTTTCTGTTGGTCTGTCTTTCTGTTGGTCTGTCTTTCTATTCCCCTGCACTAAATGACCATTATTGAAACCTAAAGTCCTCTCTCTCTCCATCACTCACCTTCCAGACTGAGCACACTAGCCTTGGGCCCGCCTCAGACTGCGTCACATCTTCAACACAGTGCGAATGCCGCGCCGGCTCGAGTGACGTCTCTTCGCAACACTCGGATTTCCATCTTCTCTTTGGAGTTGTAGGCCAGGAATGTTGAATATTGATGTGGCTGGGATGATGGAGAAAAGAGAGGGAGGAAATCAAATTCACATAAGGATGTCTTTATCTCAAACATTTTGTAGTCTATACTGCACAAATATTAACACATAACTCCTCATTCTCCCTTTCTCTCTCTCTTTCTCTCTCTCACTCTCTCCCCCCCTACCTCTGTCTGTCTGTCCGTCCATCCGTCCGTCCATCTATCTATCCGTGCATCCGCCCGCAATCTCTCTCTCTCTCTCTCTCTCTCTCTCTCTCTCTCTCTCTCTCTCTCTCTCGCTCTCTCTCTCTCTCTCTCTCTCTCTCTCTCTCTCTCTCTCTCTCTCTCTCTCTCTCTCACACTCACGCATGCACACACACACACAAACATAAAATACATTGACAAGCACAATACACACGCAAAGGCACATGTACCCACACACATACAGACATTGACCCTCCCTCTGTGCGACTCGTACAAACAACAAAAACAATACGTAAAACTGTGCACTCACTGTCTCCAAGCTTGTGTATTGCTGGGGGCAAGTCTTGGAAAAAAGGATGCTTCATAGCTGCATGTGCTGAGATTCGCCTGTGAGCAGGCATCTGAAGAGAAAGTAATGTCTCTATTTGAGTCCATTCAACAGAGATATCTTCAGTTTGTTTCATTTTTAAGTAGAAATTTATAGCTCTTGCAACGCAAATAGGTAATTTAGTTTTAGTTTTAGTAGAGGTTTTACGGCGCTCGCAACTGCATTAGGTCATATGAGCTCCAGAAGATTAGAGGTGTTACAAGAGAGTAACAAACATAAAAAAGAAGAAGGAGAGATAAGGACGATAAATGTTTGATAGGAAAGAAGCAAACCACACCACAGCAGCCGCCAACCACCCACAAATAGGTCGTGTAATGGCCAAAGATTAGAGTTGTTACTACAGAGTAATATACAAAGAACAAGGAGGAAGAAAGATGAGGAAGATAGACGTTTGATGCGCAACAGAAAAACAAACCAAAAACACTCTTTTCCCAACATTATTTGAGACAATTTTGACTTCTATGATCAAGTTGAAGAAACCCGGTCTCTTCAAATTAGATAAGGAAAGTCTTGAAAAAATGCAATTATTGACCATCGAAATGAGTCACTGTTATGCCAAGAACAACAATTACTAGAATCAGATCTCATTGAAAATTAGACTATCTAGTTGGAGATACCAAAGAAGTTTTTCTCTCTCACTCTAACTCCTGACCAGTGGACCAACAACTCTCCTTGTTTTTGTTTTGTTTTGGTTAGTGTTTTACAGCGCTTGCCACTGAATAAGGTCATATGAGCGCTTGGGACACATTAATCATTCTTCAGTTTGGTAGGAATTAATTTTGCATTTTGCCTGGGTGACAGCTGAAGCCTACTCTTGTCGATTTTTAGGACCACCAAGGGATCTTTAACATACACAACTTGCACAAGGACCTCCGAGATTTTTTCACCCTTACCCGAGAAGGCTAGGTGTTAGATCTTACCTACCCTAAGATCAGAGGTGTGGCTGAAAAAAGATAGCAGTCAGGCGCCCAGAGGAGTAGCTGTAGAACGGCTGCAGAGAGAGTCAGACGCCCAGAGGACGGTGGCAGAAAGGAGAGACAAAAGCAGAATGACAGAACATGGTTCGAGAGCAAGAAAGGAGGTGAAAGGAGAAAATTCTAGAGACGAAAATTTTCCATCACTGTCAGGCAAACACCTTAACCTCTAGATATGGGTGGTTGGTGGGTGCTCTGGTGTGGTTTGCTTCTTCTTTCCAATCAAACATCTATTGTCCTTATCTCCCCTTCCTCTTTTTTATGTTTGCTACTCTCTTGAAACACCTCTAATCTTCTGGCACTCAGATGACCTTACGCAGTTGCAAGCGCCGTAAAACATTCTATTAAAACCAAAACTAACCTCTAGACCACAAAAGCCCCCAACAACCTCTCCACTGACCTGCATGAGCGACTCGGCCAAAGACTCGGCGTGGGGCAGATCCACAATCCCAGGCACAAACAGCATGAACGGGTGAGGCCGATGCTTCAGGACTTTGGCTGGGGGAGGAACAATTGAGATACATGTAACATGCTGAGAAATGTTCAGAATTAGAAACATGACAGTAGGTGGGAGGAAAAAGTTTTAGTTTTAGTAAGTGTTTTACGGCATTTGCAACACAATAACGTCATATAAGCGCTGAAGATTAGAGGTGTTACAAGAGAGTAATAAACACAAAAAAGAAGGAGGGGAGATACAGACGATAGATGTCTGATAGGAAAGAAGAAGCAAACCACACCAGAGCACCCGCCAACCACTCACGGGAGGAAAAAACACCATCAGTTGACAAGACTTGTATGTGAGAGAAAAGACCTAGTTTGAACAACAGATCGTATGGAAATAGGCACTTTTTATTATATACATTGTTATTAAAACAAAACTCACAGAAGTTTTTGAACATATGTGATGTACTGTATTGTTCACTGATGAATTTGTTCTTGCATTTAGGTAAAGCATGTAAATCTGTAATCACACAGAAGTATGTACATTAATTAACACTTTCCACAGCCTTAGTCCCCATGTACCACGATGTAGGTAGGGTACACTAGAAAAACATTTTCCAAAAAATGTACTCCAGTTGTTGTAAACCAACTGATTTTCACCCTCAAAGGACACACAAACCATTTAGAAAGGAAAGTACAACTTTAACAAGTATGCATGTCTACGAGGAGAGTATTCCTACAACATTTTTTATGCTTTATCAGAGAGTCTCCAACGGCGTACTGTGGGGGGAAAGGAGCGGCTTTTTACCATCGCCGATCGACACTTACACACCAACAAGCACATAAACAGAATCAACCCCATTGCAGACACTGTGACTACCACGAGGAGACCGTTGAACATCTTCTCCTTCACTGCCCAAACCTGGCAGTTCTTCAACGCAGGCTCCTACACACACCTACAGACTTACAAAGCCTGCTCTACTCTGGCGTTGACCAGATGACAAGGACATGTGGTAACTTGAGGGAGGCATTGCTGTCAAAAAGTGGATCAACAAATGCTCGCAGCTGAAGGGATTTGAAAACAACAACAACAACAACAACAACCATCGCCGATCAACGTCCTGAGTGGGCAAAGTGATAAAAACAATTTCCTTCAGCCAAAACTCACAGAGGTCATAGTTAGGGTACTTGGAGACGCCCTCCCACGTCTCTTCTGTCGGAGTGCCCATGAAGAAGAAGATCTTGTCCAGCTGGTCATAGATGTCCTTCATGCCCGGGGCCGTGCTCTCCCCGCCCTCCTGGACCTGCTGGTGCACGTCTTTGGTGCCTGGAAACGTGGCCTTCCCTGAGATCATCTCCGTGAAAATACAACCCACACCCCTGGGGACGGAAGGCACATCTCAGTATTAGTTTTAGATTTAGTAAAGAGTTTTACGGCACATGCAACACATATAGGTCATATAAGTGCCAAAGATTAGACCCATTTTGTTTCAGTAAGACTTTCTTAGTTTTAGTAAGAGTTTTACGGCACTTGCAACACAATAAGGTCACATAAGTGCCGAAGATTAGAGGTGTTACAAGAGAGTAATGAACAGAAAAAAGAAGGAGGAGAGATAAGGACGATAGATGTTTGATAGGAAAGAAGAAGCAAACCACACCAGAGCACCCGCCAACCACCCACTATAAGACTTTTACAGCACTTGTAACACAAATAGGTCATATAGGTGCCAAAGATTAGAACTATTACTTGAGATAAACATACACAGAAAAGAAGGCGGAGGGATAGGAACGATAGATATTGATAAGAAAAAGGGGAGCAAATCACACCACAGCACCTGCAAACCACCCCACTGAGCATATTTCATGACGAGAGAAATGATTGTCAAGGGGAAATTTAAACCAAGACGGAACATTAGGTGCAGTTTGAGTAAAGAGAATTACATTGACACTCACCGTCTTGGTAACAGTAATGATCAACGATCAATTAGCAAAGGGAAAGAGTAAGACAAGACCTCGAAAGAACAGACAGAACAAAAAGGTATGACCTACTCTCCACAGACTAGCATTGACAAAGAGGAAAATAACTGACAAGAGGTAATTTATGCCAAGACAACCTATGGTGTAGTTTGGGTAAACTTGAGCACCTTGCTACCAATGTTAAAATATCAGATTATGTAACAATGAACAAAATGATATCAAGTGGGACTAGTTTTGGCATAAATGTATGTGATATGGCTCTCAAATACCCAATGGCTAAATCTGGGACAGTTTTAAGACATTCCGGAAAGTTGACGAGCCTGCATTAGCAATAATGTAAAAAAGTCGCGACCTCAGAATTACAAGATTCTATCTGCTGAGGACCTAGTTTTGAGAAATGTAACGTCAAAGATTTTAAGTTTCACAAGATGTCAATCTTTTTCAAAAGCAATTCTTTGAATATCTTGATAACAACTCTAAATAATCTTACCATTTAGAGAGAGCAGATGGAAAGATTTGGTAGTGACCTCATGGTCTTAGTAACTCAAAAGAGCCAAAAATTTTATACAGAACTTTGTAATTCTAAAGTAGCCAAGTATCAATCCTCTCTCACCAAATGTCCAGTGACGTGGAATACTCTGTAGAACCCAGCAAGACATCCGGCGGCCGGTACCACAGTGTGACCACTTCATGGGAGTACGTGTGACTAGGTATGCTCTTTGCTCGTGCCAAACCTGAGGCAGAAAATGATAGAACTGTTGAACCTGCTCCAATGGCCACCAGCCCAAGACAATCACCCGTACAAAAGACTACTTCCCATTCCCCAAACTGAGTTTATTTTTAGTAGAGGTTTTACGGCGTTCGCAACTGCATACGACCATAGGAGTTTTTTTAAAATATTACAATGACACTGTCCAAGATATCCACCTGTGTAAGACAATCACGTGATTTTTTCACCTTAACAATGAATAGCCGTCTTGAACAATTTTAACAGCAGTTCTAATTTTACTTCAAGCTCCACAACATTTCTTATTAGTATGAAGACCAATTAATATAAATAAAATGTGAAGTTGATCCACAGCTAAAGTGTTAGCAGGAATGCTCTTTGTTCATTACAGAACTGCAACAAAACAGATACGTGATTTTAAGCTCATTAGTATTCTTCTTTAGTACAAAGAGCAATCCATACAAATATAAAGCTATGTTCATCCACATCTTAAAGTTTGAACATGTTCACTCTTTTATAGGGTGTTACAAGTACCAGAAGACGGAAACAAATTCAAAGCACATGAATATCTTTTTGTCTGTGCAAAAAACAATGCATAAAAATAAAAAGCATAATTTATCACTAGCAAAAGTGAGACTTAACATGCAAAGTCAGCAGCATATGTGCAAGGACATAGCCAGTTATAAAATATAACTGCCAACAGAAAATACACTTTGCCTGATAACTAATATTAATATATATTTGAACATGATCAAGCATTGATCGGTAAATATCCAAAGTAAGCAATGAGAGTTTGAATTAACCAAGCCACAACTTACCAAAGTCGGCCAGTTTGAGCTCTCCTATTTCACTGATCAACAAATTCTGTGGTTTCAGATCCCTGGAGAAAAAAACGACAGCTTTGTTGAAATGCTACATCTCTTAAACATACTGATCTAAAATTTTCAAAAAGTCTTCACACCTCATCAATCCATGCCTCTCCCTCTCTCTCTCTGTGTTCCCTCCCTCCCTCTCTACCACTCTCCCCCTCCCTCCCTCCCCCATCCTTCTTCTTCCGTTCTCTGCCTTCTCCTCCCCCTACCCTTCCTCTTTCTCCGTC